TCTTTCTGTTATTATTTGCATTATGATCTCTAGACATTCCGATTTTTTTCATGGTTGCTGAATCCCTTCACATATGGATCTGGAGAAAGACAAGTGAAATCTCAGTTCCTACAGAAAACGTTGTGAAAATCTTTTCCCAAGGTTAAGAAGAGGGAGCTAAAGATGCCACGCAGACAGTAAGAGAGCTTGCTAAGCATGTACACAGCCATAACATGCTATTGAGTGCTCAGAAAATGGACCAGTGGTGCATCTGTCCTTGCAATTTTAGCACTGGAGGGCAGAGGAAACAGTACCAGGACTTGAACATCTTCTACTACTTAACAAGCTCATTGCTAGCTTGGATTACATGGACAGGTTGGGGAGCAGAAGGGACTCATCACATTATAGCTATTGAGAGTAGTTTAGGTAGGTTGACCACAAGTTAGGGCAGAAATTATAATAGGAAATCTTTAAGACTAGATAGCTTATTACAAAGACTTTTTTTGTAGTCATTTGTGCATGACCATAAAACCCCTAGGAAGGTAGGCCAGAATGATATTATATGTATGTATGGCATATGTACATGTGTATGTCTGTTTATGTGTGTATACATGTGTGTATGTGTATATGTGTGTATATATATACGTGTGTGTGTGTGTATTCATAACAGTTTTCACCAGTGAGTCATAACCCCTTTGGGGGGATCAAACGACCTTTTCACATTGTTCATTTAAGACTATCAGAAAACAAAGGTATTTACATTATGATTAATTACAGTAGCACAACTACAGTTACAAAGTAGCAACTAAACTAATTTTATGGTCGGAGGTCACCACAACATGAGGAATTGAATTAAAGGGTCTCAGGATTAGGAAGGTTGAGAACCACTGCTTTATACAAACTAAGACTTAAAGCAATTCAGACATGCTCTAGACTTAACAGTAGTTAGCAAACATCTATGTAGAATCTAGTTCATTTTCTTTATTTCTACTGATGCAATGCCTCTGCTTCAGAAGTGTGTTTATGCCTTTCAGTGTCAAACTGATACATGATATTGATTCATACTCACTGGAACAGATGTCTTCCCATTCATGTGACCTTGAAGCACAGGATTTTAAAGGATTCCTTGCCATCAAGACAAGTTAGGTATTCTTCCAATTTCATATGGGATAGGAAAATGGTCGAATCACTTCAATGCTTTTTTTAGGAAACCAATCATTGCTTCTTAAGAAACAGGCTAAACTTTGATTTTACATTAAATTCTATTTGGTTTTGGCTAGATATTAAGCATTTAATAAAGCTATTAGTATGTTAAAACTTACTATGAGTGTATGTGAAAATCTACATAAATTTGATGGTGTAGATTCATGTTGATCAAAAGAGAAATGTTTCTTTTTAAGTTCATGAACTAGGTAAGACACTTTTGATGTTTTCAATGACAACTTTATTGTTTTGGGAGGACACATTCAGGCTTACATTATAATCACACTTATAAGAAGGATACCACAGATTGTCAAAGGAGTCTCCAGTTCATTCTTCCTGAACAATGGATCTAAAAGAATAACTTTGATTAAACTTTTCATATTTTACATCTGTTCCTACTGGATTCCTCTCCCATCTGTCACTTAAACTGCTTTAAAGGTTCACTGTAAAGATAAAGTTTTTACTCCTTTACTCCATTACTCAGTCTTCCACCCTCTCTGTCCAACCTTCTTTCCCTTATCACTTTGGGACCAAGGATAACAGTCCAGGGCACGCACCGCAGCCTTTATATTCTGAGGCCCGCTCACAAAATAAAGACTCTTCACGTTCTCATTTTACTTCTGTTATTTTATGCCTAATTATAACCTGATTTACAGTTTTGTTTTGTTTTAAACTGTTTTCCAGGTTACAGGGCAAGAGAGCTGGTCCTGGGGTCACTAGAGTGGGAGAACTAGTCCTGCCCCCAACAAGCTAGGGCACTCAGGAGAGCTGTTCCTGCACCCCGCCTGGGCAGCAGCCTAGAGCTTGCCCTGTTGTTTGAGGTGCAGGTGAGCTGCCCTGAGAGTATGAGAGCAGGAGAGCGGGCCTTGCTCCTTGCCTCTCGGTGCATTGGGTGAAAGGACCAAGGCAGTGCTGTAGAGCTCACCATAGAGACGCCAACGGAAAGTTGGCGAGCTGACCAACCCAGCTTCCACCCAGGCCCAGAACCAGGACTATGAGTTGGCTAACCCCAACATCCACTGAACCTATAGAGCATGTGAAGGGAATGAACCTACAGATTCAAAACAGCAGGATCGTCATGACACAGGACAACAGGATTTCCAAGGGGAGCTCCAGTGAGAGCCATGTCAGAGGACATGTGACTCGTGGCAATGACACTTGCAAGTAAAGATGAATGGACTAAGGGTGAACGGTGTGACTCAACGGGCCATACTACAGCGTCCAGGACAAGATTCTCCTTTTTTTAAATAGATTTTTATTGAGCTCCACATTTTTCTCTGCTCCCCTCACTGCCTCTCTCTTCCCCTTCAACACTCTCCCAAGGTCCCCATGCTCCCAATTTACTCAGGAGATCTTGTCTTTTCTTTAAAAAAAAAATATTGTTTTTTTTTTGTTTTTATCTTTTAAATTTGGTTTTGATTTGGGGGGGAGGTTGCAAGGTCAGTGAGATCAGAATACGTGATGTGAAAACCACAACGAATCATTAAAAGTTTTTTTTTAAAAAATTGGCTATTTTCCTTGTCATCTTCCAAGTTTCTTGTCTTAGTTGACCTTGTTTGAATATGTACATCATGACCTATTCTTCTACTAGAATTGTTGGTAGTTTTGTGTTTCAAAAGGGTTTCCTTACATCATTGTGCTAGGTATGTGCAGTTTGGTGCCTTTGTTCTCCCCGGCCTTGCACGCTAACCCTGCAACTTAATTCTTCACATTAACAAGATATTTCCCATTTTCTTTATATTCCAAAAAAAAAAAATTCACTTTGTCTTGATTAAGGACTTAAAAGGCGTCCTTCCCATTTGCCATCTTGATCTTTGTGGCTAACTTTTCATTTTTTTTTTTTTGAAGTTCCCTTTCTATGGGTCACCAAATGAAATTGTTTCTCAGAGTAGAGTTCTACTGCGGCAATTTAGTTTTAAAATTTAATCTCCTTTATGGTTTCTAAATAGTTTGCAAATTGATAAATTTTCTTCCTAAATGTAATTTCAAATTTATGACTGATTCATAATTATTTTATAAGTATGCTTTTGAATTTGAATAATTGAAAAAGTCAAGTCTCATCTATCACTAATCTTATTTTTGATAATTTAAGAAGAATGAAATTTGTGAAGTGAGCAAGCATCAGCAGGTAAAGGTGTTTGCCACTGTGCCTGGAGATATGAAAAAGGAAGAGGGTATTGACTACACAAGTTGTCCTCTGTGTTTCACAAAAGAGCAGGGACTCATCCATATGTATACACACACACACACACATACACACGCATTAAATTTTACTTTATTGTTGTTGTTTTATTTTGTTTTCTGGGTCAAAGTTTCTCTGTAGCTTTGGAATCAGTCCTAGAACTCTTTCTATGGACCAGGCTGGCTCAAACTCAGAGAGATCCATCCACTTGTCTCTGCCTCCCGAGTTCTGGGATGAAGGGCAAGTGCCACCATCACCCAAGTAAATTTTACTTTTTTAAAGTGATTTTACTCTTTTCTTTTACAGTCAGGAATACAACTAACTAGGAATATTTCATATTTCATGACTGTCTAAAGGAATATAGCTTATTGAAAGTATAGATTTTTATTCATATTTTATGTTTATTGAAATCATCCAAATAATTCCTCGATATATTAAATTACACTTCTATTGGATCTGTTTGATAGTAATAATATTGTACATGATTAGTGCCCACTTAGAAACAAAAGACAGACAGACTGGTAGGTCCACAGACATTGAGGTACACCAAATTGGTGCTGCTATTTGCTCTCACATTCTTTTCCTCCACCTTGGAGTTTCTGAGCAGATAATTACTTTGCTAAGTTTATTTTCAAGAAACAAACTCCCTTAGATATACAGATAATAGAATATCTAGATCATTGAACACTTGGCATGCCATATTGTACACACTACTAGCTGAACAAATGCCTAGATTCCAGCTGGGCCTTGGATTCATACTGTGGTGCTTCTGTCTCAATAAGCAATGGCTGCCCTTCAAACTTTTGCAAATGTCAATATTGCAAACACAAAGAACAACTTCCTTGATTCTTTTATTTTTATAAAGTATATTTAATCACAACCCTGGATTTCTCCTTTTATCCTTTTACTCCTTACAGTTCATAAATTCTAGCAGGACTTACTAAGGTAAGTGCCTAGCACACAGGGACATTTTAAATCCATATATACTCACATCTCTAATCTGAGAAGTTCTTTGTTTAAAAGCATATGGATGGAGATAGAAAACATTATTTTTGTGTAAGGTAACCCAGACCCAGAAAGACAATTATCACATGTACTCACTCATAAGTAGTTTTTAAACATAAAGCAAAGAAAACCAGCCTATAAACCACAATCCCAGAGAACTTAGACAACAATGAGGACCCTAAGAGAGACTTACAAGATCTAATCTACATGGGAAGTAGAAGAAGACAAGATCTCCTGAGTAAATTGGGAGCATGGGGACCTTGGGGGAGGGTTGAATGGGAGGGGGAGGCAGGGAGGGGAGCAGAGAAAAAAGTAGAGCTCAATTTTAAAAAACATATTTATTGGCTCATTTCCATCCAAACTTGTTTTAGTTTAAGTCCTAGCGTTCACATGTGAAATATCCTCAGGCTGCTTCTGAAATTTTCTGTCTTCATCATCGTTAACACTTTTTGCTGTTTGGGTTTTCCTTGCTCTCACGCTTCTTCCCAGCTACTGAGTCTATTCTCACCCTCTTCATTCTGCCGTCATCTACTGTTTTATTTTTTTCTATAAATTCTAGGGACATTTTGGGGTAGTGGTTTGTTTTCACCTAATTTGCTTTAAATTAGTATGCAGCGGAATTGCTACGCCAAGAATCCGAGCTCGAACAGACTGTGCTCTCCACCTCGTGTCACTCAGCTCCAGTTGTTACTTTCAGGATCTGTAACCATGCTCTGCACTCAGTTCTCTCTGCAAATGACCACTCCTTGCTTTCCACGGCTGTGGAGCTCGGGACAGAGGAGTAGCTTCAACACCAGAGTGGTGGGAACACAGGACATCTGGTCATTGTCCTACGGTATTGTGCCGCTGAGACTCTTGTCTACGGGTCTGGAATAAGAGTCCTTTTCCTGGCTTTCTTGGTCATTAGCACTTACGGAGAATAGAAATGGTAAGTACCTTGTCACAGCTCACAGAGAATATATGAGACAGCTATTTGATAACCAGACTTTTTCTTTTCTCTTTCTCCAAAATTACTGTGTTTTCCTCTACAAAATCTACTTTTTGTTTTGGAGTTACAAGGTATCCGGTACAATGAACAGACTTTCCGTACTTAAACATGAATAATTATCACTACCTCTTCACATACAAAGGCAAAGGTAGTATTTGTCTCAGCACCAGAGTATTTGTATGTGAGAATGGGAAAAGAGGAGATGCCAAGAGGCAAAAGTTATAAACTTTGGATAAGGGGAAAGTTAGCAGCAGAAATGAGAGAATTTTAGTGTTGTCTTCCCTACGAGCTAGCTCTCCAGCATAAACTGGAGAGAATAGAAATCAGTGTTTTCTATTCTTACAGGTGCAGGACAGTATCACAGTTATTTGATGTGCATTTCCCTGAGAGCTAAAGATGTTGAACAGTTTCTTAAGTAGTCTTTGGCCATTTGAGATTCCTCTGTTGAAAATTCTCTGTTTAGATCAGAACCCCATTTTTTAATTGAATTATTTATTATTTTGATATTAACTTACTAGAGTTCTTTATATATTTTTGAGATCCTCCCAGTGTCAGATCTTTTCCCAATTTGCAGGTTGCTGTTTTCTCTTAAATGCCATGTCCTTTGCTTTACAAAAGCTTCTCGGTTTCAGGAGGTCTCATATATTAATTGTTGCTCTCAGTGTCTGTGATACTGGTGTTATATTTAGTAAGTAGTCTCCTGTGCTCATGTGTTCAAGGGTACTTCCAATTTTCTCCTCTATGAGGTTCAGTGGGATTGAATTTATATTGAGGTTTTTGATCTATTCGGACTTGAGTTTTGAAACTGGCGATAAATATGAATCTATTTGCATTCTTCTACGTGTTGACATCCAGTTAAGAGTCTAAAGCAATAATGGAGATGGTGCCTGAACTGGCCTTCCCCTGTAATCAAATTGATGACGACCTTAATTGTCATCATAGAACCTTCATCCAGTAATTGATGGAAGCAAATGCAGAGATCCACAGCTAAGCACTTGGCTGAGCTCCTGGAGTTTAGTCAAAAAGAGAGGAGCAATAATAAGAGCAAAGGAGTCAAGACCATGATGGGGAAACCCACAGAAACAGCTGACATGTGTTAGTGGGAGCTTACTGACGCTAGACTGACAGTTGGGGAACCTGTATAGAACCGAAATAGGCCCTCTGAATGTGGGTGACAGTTGTGTGTCTTGGGCAGTTTGTGGGACCACTTATTGTGGGGCCAAGATTTATTCCTTGTGCTTGAACTGTCTTTTTTGGAGCCCATTTCCTGTGAACAGACACCTTGCTCAACCTGTATATAAGGGGGGAGGGTCTTGGTCCTGCCTCAGTGGTCCTGTCTCAGACACACTCTGTTGATTCCTCAAGAGAAGCCTTACCCTCTCTGGGGACTGGATAGGGGTTGGGGTTGGGGTTGGGGAAAGGTGCAGGGAGCAGAAGGAGTGGAGGGAGAGGGACCTGGGATTGTATGCAAAATAAAAAAAGATTATTTCAATAAATGAAAAGAGCTACTTCAGCATAGACAAGTTAACAGAACTCTGGCAACAGCACAGACATGTTAGCAGAACCCAGGCGACAGCAGAAAAGCACAGTTCCCATTGCCACAACATGTGCTGGTGGTGGGGGGTCACAAGGGACGGGGTGACGCTGCATGGGAAAGACGACTGCTGACCTGTAATCCCTCCTGTTGGTAAGGAATATAGCAACCAAACGTGAGGGCACAGACATGACAAGTCATGCCCTGTTCTCCCCATCTCAAGAATCTGTAGCTGGTATGCACCAAAGCTGAGTTCTGTCCAAATAACGCAAATATTTCAGGACAAGTACAATGCTTGTGCGCAGTCAGTGGTTCCCGTGCAGTTGGTTAGCTCTCTGGCTTCAGTTTTAACTTAAATCTTTTTTCTCATTTTTCCATGTTCATTGACCCAATTCACATTTAAAGACTTTTATAATAATTCCTAAAGACTATAAATGAGGATAGAATCAAAATCCTAAACCAAAACATTCATAAAGGTATATATGTACATATCCATCTCTCTCTAATATATATAAAAATATATTAGGTATATGAAAGATATATATTAGAGATATATAATGCATTCTATATATTATATATGGCCATTGCATATATTAAAGTAGTAATGTCCCCATTTATGTATGTATTGTATATATTGAAGTAATAGTGTCCATTAATTTCTAATATATGTTCGAAATATATATATATTATATGTGTGACCATTGTATATATTGAAGTAGTAATGTCCACTTATGACTGTATTGTATATGTTGTACATATTGAAGTAATAATGTCCATTAATTCCTAATATATGTATTTGAGATATATACAATATATATTAAATTGTAGCATCCCTTATCACATGCCTGGATCATTTGTTGGGGAAAATGATACTTTCACAAAGACCCATGGAGCTAATTAAAGTCTTTTTCCAGAAATGAAAAGTAAATATGAAGAATAACTCTTATTTGTATCAGACAAAGGCAAATTCTGATAGGCTAGAGAAAGTCAAGAATGACTGTTGTCTGAGCATCCAAGCCCTCACTCCCGGAGCAGCCTGGTAACTACCCACATGCCTCATCTGAGAGCATCACAGGTACTCAGCTGTATTTACCTGAGTAGACTGAGATGGATGGTGATCAAACCTGACCTGACCCTTGTAGACAGAAGTTTCTGTCCCACCTGGTTCTGCAATCGTTAAGTCCCAAAGAAACACACAGAGGCTTATATTAATTATAAACTGCTTGACCTATTAGCTCAGGCTTGTTATTAACTAGCTCTTATAGCTCAATTTAACCTATAATTCTTATCTATGTTTAGCCACATTGTTTGGTACCTTTTCTCAGTGCAGCATTTTCATCTTGTTTCCTCTGTGCCTGAGTGCCAACTCCTGACTGAGCCTTTCCTATTCCCAGAATTCTTCTAGTCTGGTCACCCCATCTATAGTTCCTGTCTGGCTATTGGACAATCAGCATTTTATTAAACCAATACAAGTTACAATTTTCACAGGGTACCAGAGCATTATCCCACAGCAGATTCTGTCTAATCAGACCAATATCAGAGACAAGGACCTGTCTTAACTGAACTAGTCTAAGGATTCAGCAAGAATCACTTGTATACAGAATTGTCCATGGGTATGGACATAGACCTGGAATAGGAAGCATGAACTTCTGAATGAACTCATGTGATACACACTTCCTTACTCATGGTCATCTAAGGCTCCATGGCCAAAACCCTTGTACCCAATGTCTCTCTAGCTGTAGTTATCTACTTTATAAACTGGTTGCTAAACTGTATTTTTAAACTCACCTAAATGTACAATTTTTTTAGGTTTACTTAATTAATGGAGGCTAATGCTCTAAAACATCTTAAACAGGGAAGAACAAAACAAAGACCACGAGCCAATGCTTGCCATTATGGTTTTATGTGGACTCTAAAACAAGAGTGAGCTTTATGTTTCTTAATAGTTGAGCTAAGAGAAAAAATTCAGAGGACTATTTTGTGATACAAAACATGTGAAATTCAAACTTTAGTATGGAATCATCATTTTACTGATAACTAGTCATGTCTATTTCTTTCCTTTCTTTTCTTTAGTATATTTATTTAAGACCTATATAACTTAGAAGGCCCCAAATAGTTATTATCATCAGCCCTAGAGATTCCTTTGTAGAAAGTATTGGAAGGCATTTCTTTTCTTCTGTCTCTAAGCCTAATAGCTACTATTCCTACTCATTTTACTGAGTCTTGATTTGTTTAGCATGAAGAAGGGCTATCTTTAAATAGTTCACTGGAGTTCTAATTCTATAAAATTAAGACAGCGCAATGAAAGAATTAATCGCCAGGGTATTCAACTCCATAATAGCTTAACAATCAACACTGAAAGGTCACAGAAAGGAAGCTGTCTTTCACAGGCTTTATGCAGTATCATTTGATGTAACCTACACCCCCTTACAAATTTGTTTATTCAGAGATTAATGCCACAGACTTGTGTGCTCGTTTTTCCAAGTGTATTAGATAATTCAACTTATAACTTTGGTGATATTTCTTTTTTAATAATATAATAGCACTTTGTAAAAGGGTCCAAAGAGAAGGCACAAGAAAGAGTCCTGCTTGTTCACACACCCAGGAATCACATTATAAACAATGAACTGGAAGCTATAATATACCACCTACAGACCTGCACACTCCCTGTGCCTGCTGCCACAGTCTCTCTGAGTTCACATGTGCTCTGAACATGCTGATTCAGAGGACCTTGTTTTCTTGGTTTCTTCTATTCCCTCTGGCTCTTATACTCTAAACCTCCTCTTCTGCATGGTTCTCTGAGACCTTAGGGGAAGGATTTGATGGAGCCACCCTATTAAGGCTGAGTGTTCCTTAGTCAGTCTCTCATTCTAAACACAATGTCTGGCTGTGGGTCTCTTTATTTGTTCCCATGAGGTACAGAAAGATGGTGACTGAGCAAGGCACTGATGTATGAAAACAGCAGAATGTCATCAGGAATCACGTTACTGCTACATTAATTTTTAAGGTCAGAAGCATTTTGCTTTTCCTTAGGTCCCTGGGCTATCTAAGTCTCAGGTTCTTGGTCACCTGAGCAGTGTCATGCATGAATTCTATCTCATGGAGTAGGGCTTTTGTCAAATCAGTCCCCATTGCTGAAGACACCTGCACAGCTCATTGACGTTGGGGAAGTTGAGCTGGTGCCTCCAGGAGACTTCATCCCTATGCTCTAGTACCTTTGGCACAGGAAGGTGCTCTGCATGCAAAAGAGAAACGTAAATACCAATGGTCTTATTTGGGTCTACTAATCTGTGCTAAAACACCATGATCAAAGCTACTTGGGGAGCAAAGGGTTTCTTTTGGCTGATACTTCCATTTCATTGTGCATCACTGAAGGAAGTCAGGACAGAACTCCAACATGGCAGGAACCTAGTGGTAGGAGTTCATGCAGAGGCTCACTGGCTTATTCCCAAGGCTTGTTCGGCCTGCTTTCTTATAGAAGACAGAAGCAACAGCCCAGCAGAGAGGTAGAATTACCCACAACTGCCTGAGCCCTCCCACGTTAAACAATAATTAAGAAAATGTCCCATGGAATTGCCTACAGTTGGTGCAACTGAGGCTCCCTCTGTGATGACTCTAGCTTGTGTCACATTGATACAAAACTGACCAAGATTTCAACCCAACTACAAACTCTTGGATCTACAATGGTGTCTTGCCTGTAAGATAAACTAGTGTAATCATGACATAAAGCTTATGGGAGTGGCCAACTAATATCTGTTCTAGTAATATTTCAATCCATTTTCTTTTGGGTTCCCTAAACTTCAAATATTAATAATTAATTGTGATTCTCAGGTTAACCTATTTGTACAGTCACAAAGTTCACTAATTCAGATATTTGATTCTAACAAGAATTGGAATAAGAAGAAGTTAGTAATGGATATATTCTGATGATATCACTGGAGCTAGAGGAGTGATCTTGTTAGAATCACTTGTTGCTCTTACAGAGAACCATGGACCATTCTGACCATGCTATGATGTCCTCTTCTGGAATCTGAAGGTACCAGGAAAACATGTAGTACATATGCTTACATTCAGGCAGGAATGTGTGTATGTGTGTGTGTGTGTGTATAATGTAAAAATTAATAAATCTTTTTTAAAAAATGATAAATCATCAACATTTTTCTCAAAATGCTTTTATTACTGAGTCATAGGAAAATAAATTCAGTAAACAAAAAAGAACATTGAGACATGGTGACCTTTCAGCTTGAAGAGTCCAGGGATAGAATATAGAAAGAAAGGGTCTGGTCCAGGAATATAGAAATATAACGTTGTAAGCCCAAACACATTTTGAAAAAAAATAAAGCTGGCAGCCACTGTTAACCTTTAACACTGTTAACCACTTTCTGCCTTAAGAGCAGACATCCTGGCACCCACTGTGTACAGAGGTAAACTTTTAACAATTGTCTCCTGCCTCCCAGTCTCCCAGCTAGGCAGGTACTGGGGACAAAGGTTAGCTTCTAATTATTGCTTCCATGAGACCCTCTGCTTGCATTCCCTTAATTTTTAACTGCTCCCCCATGAGACTCTACTCTCGGTCTTGCATTCTTTCAGGGACAGTGAAAAGCGGCTGTGTCAGTCACCAGCTTTTACAAACACTCTAAGTTAACATTCTAATGTCTTATAACCAAAAGTTGTAAAACTGAAAATGCAATGTGACTTTAAACCTGACCTCAAGATTGTAAAAGCTCTTTGACCCACACCTGGTGCTTGATTTTACTATAATAGCAGGACCAAAACCAGCCTCCATTGCTACAATTTCTGGAATAAAGCTTGCTTCTGGTTCAATAGACTTTGGTGGTCTGTCCTCTATAATTGTGTGATCCTGGACCCAACAAGTTCACCATCCTGCTTGGGGGCTTCAGCGAGGCAGCCTGTGTAGTACAGATCTCAGAAAAGTCAAGTCCAACAAACTCACATTTCATACATCGTTCATAGAACTATGCAGACTCATATATATGACAAAAACGTAGGAGAGAATCTGCAATTCATACTCTCTTCAGTCTTGTGAGGAAGCTTGTACCACTTAGAAGAAATGGTGTCCTGAATAAACTTATCCTTCATTTATCTCTTATTTAATATTTGCAACCACTGTGTGAGACAGCAAGGTTCCCAACTTATGAACAAATACAACTAAAAGTGAAAGTTAGAGGGGAAAGGATTGCATGGCAAGTCTCTGCTGTGTTCCCTGGCAGAGCACAAGCAGCTTGAACACACCTCATGGGGTATGACTAGATCTCAGAGACCACTGGTACAGAGGAAGCAAGCGGAACAGGCTCCAACTGGAAATTGTACAAGAAAGTCAAACTAAGCAAACTTCTTACCACATAAATGACCCAGCAGCCTCCTGCTGTGTAGTCAGTAAAATAAAAACAGAGCACCGTGGAGGAAGGTAGCAGAGATTTCAGTCAACAGGCAGCCTGGGCACGGTGTGACAGCCAACCCAGCCACGGTGATGGGTGTCAGGCAACCTAGTCGTGGTGACAGATGTCAGAGAACCTGGCCATGATGATGGGTGTGTGGATGTTTATCATTGTAAACATTATCTTGGCTCAAAACCTTGTTGCCATTTCATTTTAATAGCCTTGACCACTTACAGGCATTAAAAGAGATTCACACAGCCAATATGCTTCATAAGAGCTTGACAGAGAATTTTCATATTCTCTTACCAACTCCCATTTGGTGAGTCTCCTAATCTACATATCTCTAAAATCTTGGGCTATCATTTAAAAAGCCAGTGTCACATGCCCTCATTAAAGAAGCAATTTAGCTAACTAATGCCGTCATATTATTGAACAGTCTAACTAAGCTGACAAGTTTTTCATAACCACCCAGTGAGATCCAGACTCCCTTGTAATTTCTAACAGACAGGCTAGAGAGAAAGAAAAAAAATCACATCTTAAATTGTCACTTATAAAACCTCATTTACTGGAGAGTAGAATTGGTATCTCCATCTCTTGAGTAAATTTACCCTTTAACTTGAAGCAGAATTACAGCTTTCTCAACACTTAAGCCATCCACCCAGCTCCATACAGAAAGCTCTCAAGTAGAACCTCACATCCAGCACTAAGACCCCATCTCTACTCTGGGGACCATGGTGCAGGAGCAGAAATACCTAGAGAACTATTGTTATTATAACTTCAAAAATAGCACTTGTCATATGCATTCCTGGTTAATAATAACTATGTGTGTAAATATTTAAATATGCATAGAATGCACACATATATATGCATTCATATGTATATATGAACTTGTATATATTCATATGTATATAAGAATTTTAAATTCACAGATGAGTAAGTTCTTGAAGATCTAAATGAAGTCAACAAAAGGATACAGTCAATCCTACAGCAAAGTGATGTGGGAAATGATAGCAACCAGAAGACAAACATTTCAGATATGGAGCTCTGCTCCCTCACTAAGGTTCTGCCCATGGGATGTCAGTGTGGCCACAGAAGTCCTGTCACATTTGAACATAATGACGCCTGCTCCTGAGCAACCTGTCTCTTTGCTCATCAGCACCCAGAATCAATGCTGTAGGGACAGCAGGAACCTGACATTCTGACATTTAAAGAATGCATTTAAAATGGAGTGTGGGAGAAAAGCATACAGTAAATAAATACAGCCCATCTGAAATCAAATAAACACATAAGTTGCAAAAGCCAGTCATGGATCTTTTGCTTACTGCTTTACGGAAATTCTATGAGATTTATACTGTGGGATTTCAGAATAAAATTTGGACTCAGTAAATGTGCAAGTATTTTATAAACACTTTATAATCTTTCTTCCTGCTGTTTTGACAGTATGAAGAGGAATCCACTGTCATTAAGGATTGAATAGAAAATGAAAACCTTGATGATCATGCGGGCCAGTACCCCTCCAGCTAATGCTCATTTACTTGAAAATAATCACTATCAATGGCCCAACACAGAGCTCACTGAAAATACTCCGTCCACATAACAAATGTGTACATTCAACTGTGCAAGCGGGTAGGTTCCAAAACAGCCTCACTCATCACATCTCTTCCCTCTCAGATGTGCAGCCCTCTGTTAGAATGTACGGAGAATGCAACATTCTGCGCGGGGAGGGGGGTGCTGTTCGCAACAGTGTGGACTTCGTCTGTGGTTGCCATAAACTGGACATGTCTTAGTGCACCAGTGTGGCAGTGAACTTTGCTGTGGCACTGGTAAGACTGCCTCAGTGATCTTGGGTACCAAGGAGCCCTGAGTTTCATAGGAATACTCCGCTGGATGAACCTAAGTGAATTCCCAGTTTAAAGTGACATCTCTACAGTTTTGCATATGACATGGAAAGGGTGTTATTTTTGTGTGATGATAGAGATAGAACCCAGGCCTTTCACATACTGGGCACGTGTCCTGCCATATTGGTAAAAATTCTGCCTCCATTACCCTTACAAATTCTTTAATCCCCTAAAGGCGCCAATGAATGAAAATAAATCACATAAAGTTTCCCTGGGGTATAAAACCCAGAGTTGAATGTGTTAAGGATCTCTCTGATATACATAAAGAAAGGAGCATATACGCTGCACCACCTGGATTTGTATAGAGTCTTCTACCATATCACAAAAAAAAACCAACACATAATTTAGCCCTCGCATGATTTAAATCTAGGTCACAGTGCTCTGCTAAATAACGGGGCTATGAAGAGTTAATAACAAGGACATATCTTTCAATATTACTAACAAAAGAAGTCCGCAGGCTTCATTTAAAATACAGATGACCAAGGATACAGTAGATATTCAATAAATGAGTTATGTTTGACATATTGTTTTTAATAAAAACAATGGAGAGGCAGAAATTGTTTCATGGAAGCATACAAAGCTGAGGGCTCTAGGAAAGATTTTAGCTTATTTGAGACTTGAAATTTCTAAAAAATGTAAGCTTATATATAAGAAATATGTGGAACTCTAAAAGTAATATGTAAATAACCAAAAAATATGGAACAATAAAAATGTATTTATAATAAGCTGTTGTTATTAATATGTAACAAGAATAGGGATATTTGTAATGATATGTAGTAGGGGATCCTGATTTTTTTTCCACAAACAATATCAGCAATAACAGTATTGTGTGCATGTGTGATTTTGACTGGTTAGCATCTTTTCATTTTAGGAATCCCACTCCCACGATTCTATCACATCCCCTGAACACCTCACAGATTTTCACTTGACTCTACCTGGATATTCCACAGACTGCCATTCCTTTGACAACATGACTCTTCAGACTGTACTCGAGATATTTCCAGCTTTAAGATATGGCTATGTCTCATTGTAAGTTATTGAATATAATTGCTATTTTCTACCAACTGCTTTAGCTAAAAGAATATGAGAATCTTCCTGTGATTCTTCCTAAGAATGGAGAAGACATTCCGTGGGTAGAAAAATCTCCCTTCCTCCCACCTAAAAACACTGAAGGTGGAAGAGAAGAGTGACCGAAGAAATGGTGAAGGGAGACAATGAGACAATCTATGCCAAAGGAAGAGTCTCAGTTCCGCTTTTTCTCCCCCATCCTCTTCCTCTGTCTCACCTCTGAGTAGCACCCCTCACACTCAGACCCATCTGTGCCTTTTCCTCCTTTGGGAATTCAAGTAGTTTCTTTGCTTTGCAGCTGAATGAACAGGAACAATGCAGCTGCTTTGTCCATTTCTCAGTCTCCAGGTCCCAACGCCTCAATTTATCTCCTGGCTTCCACCTAACCTCTCACTTCTGTTTTTCCAGCTTTCCATACTTCCAGAATGTATTTTCTATGTAAAATGCCCATTTACTGGAATGTTTCTGTTTTCCTGGCAGGACTCAACAGATCGAGTAGCAAAAGGAGTTTGGAGAAGAGGACTTAGCCACTCGCATTTTAGAATTATCAGCTTGTAGACTCGTAATGTTGCTGAGATGGTTAAAGAAGAGGGACAAGAGATTCAGAAGGGAAGAAGATGGAAAAACAGCTCACTTGGTATGTTTTTATTGATGAAACAAGATGTACTTTAACTCTGACCTTAAGTTGACTTTGGCTTTTCAAATATACAAAGCAAAAGGCAGAAGTATCTGATAAAGTGACGTGTGGATTTTGTCACAATGTGGCATGAGGCGACGCTGCTGAGACTAGTGACGTTCAGCAAAGACCACTGACCGAGTAGATGCAGACCGAGTTAATTCATCTTGTTATACAATTGACCTAGCACCACGCTATGCACATCCTTGGATGGTACTCTGCATCTGCTCAAAGTTAAATTGTAATCGCGCTCTCATACACTGTTTTGACACAGCAGGTGACATGATGTATGAGAAGAGCCAGCCTCCTGATAATGATCAGCCCACCACCTACTAATAACTGTCAATTAGAACTCTCAAAAGGCTAGCACAAGGCTGACCAGCCACAGGGCTTTACCCACACATAAAACAGACACTTATCACACAGGGCTTGTGCACAGAAGAACAAAGATCAAATCAAGACAGAAATCCTTGCCATAAATGGACATTGTTGCCAAACAAACAGCTTTGATCCATACCTCTCAGACTGTTTCTGATTACTTCATACTCTCTCCGGTTGCCTGCTCTATTCCTTTATTTCAAGCACTGTCAAAAAGAAGCCATTGATCACATCAGCTTCCTCCCACCAGTCCTGACGTTCAGAGTCTTCAACCTCACTGTCTCATCAGCCACAAACTTCATGGCCCGTTAAGTTCTGAGAGTCTTCATGATAGCATCTTTTCCACAGAGAATTTCACTCAGTCAAGATGCCTCAGACACATCTTCCCAGCCTGATAAGACACTGGGACATCTCCCAGGAAGCGGGGGTTACTGTCCAAACTTAAAATATATACCTGAGTGGATCAGGTCCACAAAATTGTCATACTGAATTTGGCTCTTCATTAATATCCTAATTAAATCATCTTAAGCAATTTTTATGTTCTTGTTAACAAATACTAACCAGGCAAGGTTAAGTTCAACTGCCTCTAACCACACCCATGTTCAAGAAGGAGAGTGAACACACACTAAAACCAGCTTAGACCATCACAGTTTAGGAGTTTCTAAGCCTTAATTTACAAGACTGGGTATTATTCAAATGACTAACTTCTAGGGTTTTTTTTTTTTCCCCTCATCTCTTCAACCACAGCATTTTCTACTGGCTCAGTAACTCTGTGCCACTTGAAATATCCTAGGAAATGTAGGAACATAGGCACGCTTGTGCCCGTTGCTTCGTGTGTGTGTGTGTGTGTGTGTGTGTGTGTGTGTGTGTGTTCCCTCTGAAACCAGAGCCTGTCCCTATTAGAAGGAGAGCCTGCTGCAGCTGCAGTCACAAGGTGCCCACAAGGGACGAGGCAAGTGTGGGAGTGCACACTATGGCTCAGGGACTAGAATAACATATGTGCAAAAAACCTGAACATCATTAACAGCCTAAGATCAGCTCAAATTTTATGCTGAAAATATTATACACATCATTCTTAGAAAAGTAAAGTTAATATCTTTTCTCATCTCTATTGAGAAAATCCATGCTTCTCTTGTTCTTTAGTATACTTCAGTTCTAGCTCATAAAACACAATGGATACTGCATAAATGATTACTAAATAATTAATGAGTCCCTTGGGACTTACTACATGTCCCACCTTATTTCCAGTACCCCACACATATTACTTGAGAAGTTATTACCTGATTTTATCACTTCATTAAGGAAAAATTCGTTTAAGAAGTCATATAAAGCAGATAAATTTGTTTAATAATATTAAAAATATAAAATTTCTTATGTGAAAATCATTAGAATAAATGTATTATTTGGGGACAGTGTATGTTAAACTAAAAATTCTCTGAGAATTTTCATTACTTAGAAACTCAGAAAATACTCTGAGGCACCATTAGCTGTTACTCTAAGCCTGCTATCTTGACTCTAATTTCTCCACACGAGGATGACTAAAGGCCTACCTATCCTTCATTAATTCCATGCCCAGATTACATACAGATGCTAAGAGATATCAATTGTGGGCTGTCTCTCTTGTCTTTGGAGGGCACCTTTCCAGTGTCTAAGAAGGTGCCTATGAATGCTAACCTACATTAACAAAACAACAGGAACAGCAGCCAAAGATAAAATCTTGGAGTCAACCAGGAAATGAAACTTTTATTTACGTAATTAAGCCTACTTTGTACCAAAAACTTTTGAATAAATTTCAACATAGAACAGAAATCAAAGGTGTTTTGCATTTACTTTTCATACCAAAAGACTGTTCCATGAACAGTATGATAGTCTGCCTACTGCATGAGGCTCCCGCTGGCTGCTACAGAGGGAGGTACCCTTGTTTACCTTGCCATCGTCTGCCCATTTGGCGGGAAAAGTACATTAGACAGGTGGAAGCTCTTCTCCCAGCATGTGGGAAAGCATATGTGACGAGAATAAATCAGCCCATTTGCTAGAGGAAAATTTCAGCAAATTCCAAAATCTGATTTTAAAAATTTAGGATTAACTAAATTTAAGCTTCACCCAGCACCTACCTAAGCATAGATTGCTGTGGCATTCACAGCCGACAGACCCCAAATGTCAAGGCAGCCTGTGACTCTTCATTCTGTCCACTTAGTGTCACCCTTGATATGGTAAGATGGAACACTCTATTTGTTGTCTGTTTGGTTAATCAAATATTTCCTCAGAAGGTTTCAAGGCCTAAAATAAAGGACTTTCAAGTGATCATCAAGATATCATCAAGGAAAGCCTCCGTTCCACCTTCTGCTAAGGAATAAGCATCAATTAAATCAGCTTAATGGCTAATTCTATATGACATAAATCCATTATTATACATAACACTCTGAGATAGCTGGTGGGGAAAGATTTACATGGCTGCAAAAAAAAAAGACAAATGAAAAACAATTGCAGTTTGCAATAAGTATTTTAAGTATTTTAAACAAAAGACAAGACACTTAATTCTACTCATCTCTGACAGTCTGTACTTGGAGAAGCATTGTTGTAGTTAAAGGACAAAGCACTTATGCTGACCAGACCCACAAGGTCTCCATAAGCACTGCCTCCCAGTCTTCACCCTCGCGTAGAATCTCCATCTGTTGACTGTTGAGTGTAGACGGTGTCTATGAATTGCTCTAAGCATAAAAACATGGCAACATTAAACTACTCTTGGGGTAGTGGGGCATCATAGTGAGTAATACACCTATTCAGTAAGTCTGAGAAACTGAGCTCAAGGCCCAGAACTGACATTAAAAACAGGTATGGTGGCACATAGCTGTCAGCCCAATGCAGGGGAATTAGAAACTCAGTCCTTGGCCTTAACTGAGCAGCCATGTAACCCATGTGGTAAATCCCAGGCCAGTGAGAGATCCTGTCTCAATAAAAAAAAAGATAGATAGTGCCTGAAGGCTGACATCAAAGGGGTAGGTAGTACCTGAGGGTTGACACCCAAGGGGTAGATAATACCCGAGGATTGACACCCAATGGGTAGATAATACCTGAGGGTTGACACCTAAGGGGTAGATAATACCCGAGGATTGACACCCAATGGGTAGATAATACCTGAGGATTGACACCCAAAGGGTAGGTAGTATCTGAGGGTTGACACCCAAAGGGTAGGTAGTATCTGAGGGTTGACACCCAAGGGGTAGGTAGTATCTGAGGGTTGACACCCAAGGGGTAGGTAGTATCTGAGGGTTGATACCCAAGGTGCCCCTCTGTCCTCTACTCACAAGCACAAATGTGCAAATACACCTGCACACCCAGAAATACACAAAACCACAATAGAGATAACAGATTCTCACCATGCTGATTAAGTTAAACTTCATACCATTGTCTTCCGTGATCAACTTCCTCTAACTCTAGCTTCTGGCTTGATGAGATTTGATGTTATATCAGGGAAGTTCAAGTCCCTGTGGTAAGGATGTAAAGATAAAGCATAGGAATAGCTTTGTCTCTGAGATTATGGAGTAGGGGGTCAGCCTCTGAAACCTGGGGGTGGCCTCCTGCTGACAGAAAGGAGCATGATACTGTGGCCGAATCCTACAATCACAAGAAACCAGATTCCACTCACAGCTGCAATGAATGTGAAAGTGGGTTTTCCCCTGGTCCAGAAGAGAACACGGCTCAGTGGACATGGAAACACAGCTGTGAGGGGCCCTGTGCAGCGCACTCACTGAAGCCATCTCTGAAGACCTGACCCATAAAAACTGAGATGATAAACTCGCTGCTGTGAACTGTTGAGACTGTGCTGACTTTTTTCCCAGAGACAAGAACTGATAGAGAAGTACTGCCATGTCTCAGCCACATGCAGCATGAAGGAATCCATGTATCTATCCTCAACTATTGCACACAAAGAAAACGCTCAAAATGGCTAAAATGTTTAAGTGAAATCAGTATGATTAACAGTCTTCTGCTAGTATTTGTTTAAATCCCAAAATGATGAAGAAAAAAGGAAGAAAGACAAAAGGGACAGTTGTCTTGTCAAATGATGCTCTGGGTTAGAGAAATCTAGTCTAGCAGCCTCGTTGCCCTTTAAATAAATGAAATTGGAAAAAAACATTTCCATACATCTACAACTTTCATGAAATCCAACATTTAATTTTATTCTGGAGAAACATAACATGTTCTACTTGACTTTAAATTTTACTACAAAAATAATGTATCTTCAGATCGTCACATCAAATTGAAGAGGCATAGGTAACTAGCCTACATTTATAATTCAATTCACAAAAATAATTCAATTCACATTAATCTTGACCAAAAAAACTTTTAGTAAACTCAAAATAAGTTAATATCTGGATCACACAACCATAGCATCCTACAAAGACACCTCAGGGTAATATAAGAATCACAGATCCCAGTGGACATTTCTAATATTTGGAGTGCTTCTGCCAGCTCTCAAACTAGATTTTTATATTTGATGTTCATTAAAATTAGACAAAGGTGGAAAATTTAAAGATGATAGTCAATGCTCCCCCATGCTCAGTGAGCTGGAAAGACTACCACTGCTCAAGATGAGACACTTGTTTTCCTTCAGCAGGAGAGATCACCTTAGAATTTCACGTGCAGTCTTTCCTCTCAGTCAGGTGGTTTGGATGAGAGCTGGCATTAAAAAGAATGATCTTACTCTATTCTAAATGAGAGCTGCCCTCTGGATGCCAGGAGGAGGCCAAGGCAAGCTCCTCTGACACGTGATATTCCCTTGGCAATGAGAAAGACATTGAATGTTTTCTTTGAAATACCAAACACTCATTGATGCAGTCAAGTTCAAGGTTTCTAAGCATGTATTACTGTGGCTGTTTTCAGACAGAGTATGGAGTCCCCGTGTCAGTTGGTTGATTTAAACAAACAAGTTGAAGGGCTGTGAGAACATTTCCTTACCTCCAGGCTTCTCTAAATATTCTCTCGTCTGTTTTTAACTAAGCAACAGACAAAGCAAATGCTTTTTTCTCTTAATAATTGCAAAATTTATAAATAATGGCCTCAAGTCAATTAAAATATATTTCGTATCTCACAGAATCTACTACCACATAAAATCCAATCTGAAAGAATAAAGGCATCATGTTGAGTAACTGGAAAACAAAGTTATTAATCACACTGAAGTGACAGTCTTTGTGGCCTGCATGCTGATCATGATCCAAATCAACTCTAAAAAGTTATGATGTTTTAGACCATGCTTTTTACATTGATAGTCACTTTGCGGCATGCCTTTGATGCAATGGTTAAAGACAAAAGAAAAGAAGTTATTATAGTATAAGTAACTATCTTGGTGCACAAATGAATCCTCACTAAAATATTTATTTGAAGTTAATTAAATTCCATTATTATATCCGTCATTACAAATTATCTCCTACACTCTAATCATTGGGTTAATTGCTTATTATCTTGCAAAGATGGAAACATGTAAGTCAAGACACTCACAAGATTCTTACTTTGGACTTTGCTATGGGTAATGATTTGTTTCTATCTAAGATAACTGCTACACTAAATTAGACAATGTGCCACATTTTTACACTTGAAACCCCCCCTCAATGTATCTGGGGCAGATGCTTACAGTGCCTAGAAGACTATGGAACATGTAAATATTTCTGGAAAGAAGAAACTGCTTCAACAACTAAGAGTATGACAAATTCAAGTACCATTCTGCCATAGAAAAAACTTGCAGACGAGGAGAGATTGACACAAAATTTCAGCCCTCGGTTCAGAATTACTGGCAACTGGTAGTGTTTAAAGAGAAAAAGATGATGTTCTATCAAACTGTATGTCCTGATAGAAGAACCACACTCCATTGCCCAGAAAGACACATGCAATATATATACAGAAGCCATATGAATTATATTTTATAGTTTTAAAAAATGTCGACATAAATTTGGTTGGGGAGGAAAGGGGAGTGGGTATGGAGGCACAGGATATGGGGATGAATATGATCAAAAGATATTATGTGAGGATTTCAAAGAACTAATAAAAATGAGAAAGAAAACGGGCAATTTTTTTAAAGCTTGCAGAAAGCCAGAAAGTAGATCCTACATGAAGAGCTGTACTTTTCTTTCTTCTCGAGCTCTATTATACTACTTTTTGGCTGGACTGGACAGAGAAGAATGGAGAGGAGTTGAGCACAAAGAGCAATACTAGAACTATGCCAACACTTGACTTCAAATTACAGTACAGAGTGACGGAAATTCAAAAGGTATCTTAGTAGCATGGACAAAAAGGGTGACCAACGAAATATAACAAAAACTGAGAAGCACACTCATCCAGCTATAACTATCTGCTTCTTGACAAAGGTACAAAACTATAGGATGGACAAACACTGCCTCTTTACAATTAGTACGGCGAACACTGGATGTCACACCTAGAAAACTGAAATTAGATTCCAAGGTCCCTATACAGAAATAAAAATAAAATAATAGGTCAAATACATGATATAAAACCTGGAACTCTGAAGATACTAGAAGAAAAGGTAAGGGCAAGAGCTTTCAATGACTTTCTCAATAGGATTCTCATGAAAATGAAAGTCATAAAAACAAACAGGACTACAGGAAACTGAAAGCACAAATTATTGTTCAGCAAAAGAAACGACAAAGAGACAATCTTTGCCAGTTGTTAATCTGACGTGGATTTAAATGTCTAGAGTATTTAAAGAACTCAAAATTTTTGAAGAACAAACAATGTAATCAATAAATGGATGGATGAGCTAAACAGGCATTGTTGGATGAGTACAAATGGCCAAC